ATGGGCCTAAAGCCCAACAACTTCCTAACTAAATAAAAAACAAACCGGACCAACTCAACACTCTACATGCTCACATTTATGGTTGTCAAGGTTCAAAATTTCGACATGATATGTCCCATATTGGGTGTATCATATCGTATTAGTGGGGATCTGAAACAAGAAATACAGGCCTTTTGGCCTTTTGATCTATTTCAGGGGGTAGACAGGCCTAAGACCTACCTACCTACTAACCTATTTTTGAAAAAAACAGCTAAAAAAAGCTTCCACTATGTATAAAGTACTGATGCCCCCCTTCTGGTGAATTGGGGTGTATCGATACTTTGAACCTGGGTTGTTGTTGGGCTCTTTGCCTGATGAATATTATAACCTTTCAGTTTTAGTTAATTGCAGACTTTACTCTTGCAGTAGTAGCAGCCAAGATGGGATTTGAATGTTATTGTCAGTTTCAAACCCCATAGCTTGCAAAAAAGAGAGAAAAAATAAAACCTAAGCAATCCATTCAGTTTTCCTTTGAGATTCTTCTTAGATTCTAAGTTGCATCATCCATGCAGTGAACCCTTTTTCTCTTTAAGCAAAATGACACCAAAGTGACCAAACATACGGCATTGCACAACAGTTTTGCTGTTGTAAAGGATTGCCAGAATTTTCCTTGGAAAGGAAAGAAGTCTCTCTGAAGTAAAAGATTGCACTCTGACAAGGGCAATTTTTTGGCTGAAAACATTAAACAGTTTTGCTGATTTTACTTTCAATGATCTGTGGAGGAACTGTCTAGTAGTGGCCAATACCTCTACTAGGAAGAACAGAAGGGTTGTAGACTGGACACCCCCTCCTGAGGGTGTCATTAAACTGAACTTTGATGGGAGCAGCCAGGTAACCCAGGGCCTTCTGGTATAGGAGGGGTCCTAAGGAATAAGGACAGCAATATTATTTCCTTATTTTCAGGACCAGTGGGAATGGGTGACTCCACAAGGGCGGAAGTGCTAGCTGCTATCCAAGGAATTCAGATTGCCAACTAGCTGGGGGTGGAGCACTTAATAATTGAAGGTGATTCTCAGGTGGTGGTGGGGTGGCTCTTGAACCCGGAGTCTGTCACATGGGGTTGTAGAGATCTGTTCAAAAAAGTGAAATGGCTAACCAGCAATATGAGAGCTAGTGTTCAGTGGGTGGGTAGATCGGCAAAGGCTGTAGCTGATTCATTAGCCAAACAAGGGGCTTCTCGGGACTGTCTTTATTGGGCTAGTTTGTGACTTGTTCTAGTTGTAGTTGTTTTTATAATACTGTTTTTTCTTAGGAGAGGTTCCACCTTGTGCCTCTCCTTGGGATACTTGTAACTTTATATTTTCTGATTAATAAATCTCTTTACTCATTCATCAAAAAAAAAAAAAAATACAGCATTGCCCAACATAATGAATGTAACCAAGGGCAAGTGACCTTAAAGAGAACTCCATTATCTCCAGCTGCAACTAGCAATCTTGTTTGTCAATCTTAGGGTCCATTTGGTTCATGGGAATTGGTGCTTGGAATCGGAACCAGAATGGCCCATTCCAATTTCAGCCATTTGGTTGGGGGCGGAATGGGGTTCCGTATCCGATTTCCATTCCTGGCAGAATGGCATTCTCCCATTTGAGGGAATGCCCATTCCAGCCTCCCCGCTTGGTAATGAGAATCTCATTCAAACCGGAAAAAGAAAAAAAGTGACTTAACACTCCCCCCAAAAGAAGAAAAAACTTTATCTATCTTTACCTGACACCAACCCTCATTGAGAGTCTTGAATATCGTATAGAATCTGATCTCGATTCCCATTTGAACCAAACAGGTCAGGGGAATAGGCGATTCTGATTTCAATTCTGACCACAAACCAAACAGACTACTAGTGTAGGGCTGTCACTCTGAATGCCAATGATCTAGACTCCCTGATAAAGTGGTATGACATCCGTGGTCCTTCACCTTTGCTGTATGAAGAGTTCAAGACCCAAACATTATGTTATTCCATTTATAAAAAAAAATTATGTTATTCTAAATTCTTAATAATCCTTCCAGCTAACTATAGTCTTTCCTCTTAATGTCTTGGATCATGTAAAAGTTGAGATTTTTTCCTTTTTGTCTTTTTATCATTTTAGCTATTTCAATTTTTCTTTGTTGAATAATTTGGATCAAACAATTAATTCTACATTCTTTGGCTGATTTTTCACTATAGATGTTTTGTCTCAGATAGTTTATGTGAATTTAATTTCTAAGATCATTTTTTGACATAGTCTTCTAACATTGTCTTACCGAGTCTACCCATTTCCTTGTTTAGATTCCCCTTGAAGCTTTTATACATGTGCCAATGCGGGTTCTACCTCTACAGCATTGCAGCCCTTCTTACATGGGAGACTCGAAGAAAGGATTTCAGTATAATGATGTCTCATCATATAATTACTGTTATCCTGATTGGGTACTCATATCTTACAAGGTATCATCATATTCATGTAGTTGAATTTTTTGTGCAAAGGAATTCTGCTTATGCAGAATTGTTTTATCCCTTATCCTTTCTGTTTGGGATTCTAATGATGCTCTGTTTTATTTGTATTCACAATTTAACTCATTAATGAAGTTGGTGATTTGTTATTGTTTAAAACAACTCTACATAAGCACTGGTTTTTCAATTACATTTTATAGTTGTAGTAGAAGATCAAGATTGTAATCAGTCTTGAATCCGAATAGGTTTTAGGTTTACAAAACAAAAGAAAAGTGAGAGAAAGGAGRAAGAATAGAAGAGAAACAGGAGAACACAAGGGGTTGAAAGGAGGGACAGATTCTAACAGATTTGCCGCCGCCACTCTCTTATTATTTATAGGTTATGTTCAGTACAAAATGGAAATGACACATCTGCCCTTAGTACTTACATGATAAATAAAGTAAATAAAAGCTGAAATAAATAACAATTGAATTAACAAACTGACTCAAACTGACACTACTATAACTGAAACAAATAACTACACATGGTGTCCTACGAACACAGTGGGGACCACTGCAGTGGGGCCCACATCAATGTTCTCTACAGTTGTTTTATTCTTCTAACATATTTCAATTGGGCTGCATGTTACATTTTACTGATCCCCTATGGGTAATTTTGTTTGACAAATGTTTCTGTCAATTATAGCCTACAATATTTTCCTAGTTTCTGCTGATGTGGAAATAATAGGGACCATTGCTTGGTGTAATGGTAAAATCTTAGTCTGGCAAAGCATGAGGACACAGCTTCAAGTCAGAGAATGACCACTATATGAAAAAAAGGAAAAAAAGAACAAAGAAGTCAAAGGTTAGGCTGTATCCAATTGACCCCTCCCAAGAGCCCAGATAGCTGGGAGCCTGGGCCCAACATTGGGTAATGGCCCTTAAACTAAGATGTTTGGCTGTGTACAGCAAAAGTGAGATGTTTGTGCATGCCCTAAACTTGTTTAGCTGGGAGAATTAGGTCTGTATCCAGCAAAGCTGAGATGTTTGGCAATGCACATAGATGACCAATGGTTGCACCAGTCTGAAGGATTTTTTTTTTGAAAAGGTATCGTATTGTATTACTATCAAAAGTATAAGGTCCTATACAAAGAGAAGCTGTACAAGTATGACAAGTATTAGGACCCCCCAAAAAAGTCCAACCTCAGACTTCATCTTTAAAATACATCAGACAAGATCAACCAGCTCCTAAGCTCTTCCACCATAAAGTTAATTACCCCAGCCTCAGACTTAGCTTTCTGCTCAAGGACCCTATTGTTTTTTTTCCAACCAATTAGCCCACAAAACTGCAGACAGAATAACATATCACACTTGTTTTCCTTTTTTAGACATGCATGGAACTCTCCACCCAGTTAACAAGAGACTAACTCCTAGGGGTGCTCATAAAAAAACAAAAAAACTGAAAAACTGAAAAACTGAACCAAACTGAGAAAACTGGGCCAATCAGTTTGGTATTTTTGGAAAACCAAATGACCGTTTTGGTTTTTGGTTAATCTAGAAAAAAACGGCTGTTGACCAAACTGACCAGTATATATATTTAATATATGTCACATATTATCTATATATTATATATAAATATATATGCATTATATATTATATTTTAATTATCTATTTATAATATATACTAGTATATTTATTTATAATATATGTTATAAATATAAAAAACTGAAGAACCAAACCGGTCAGCTGGTTAACTGGTGGTACTGGTTCGGTTTTGGTTTGGGGAGTTGCAAAAACCAGTAGTACTGGTGTGGTTAACCCAACCTTGAGCACCTCTACTGGCTCTGACCAGCACCAGCTTAGATTAATTGCCATGAGAAAATGCTGCCAAACCACTGTCGTGAAGTTATAATGAATGAAAAGGTGATTTGAAGACTCAATTTCCATATTGCACAAAGGAGTGAAGGACAAAGCAAGTCTGGTATAGTAAAACATTTTCTCAGTAACGTCTCCTTGGTAAGGCACTTCTCCTTAGCAACCACCCAAGAGAAAAACTTGACTCTTAGAGGAGCTGCTACTCTCCAAATGGCCTCGAAGGGGAAAGGCTGCTCTACATCTCTGAGGAGACCCAAGTAGCAAGTTTGGACTGAGAAGCTACCAGATTTTGCCCACTTCCATCATCTAGAGTCCTCAAACTGCAAATCTGGGTGCTGATTCTGCAGCAAAGAAAAGAGTTCTACCATCTGGTCCTACTCCCAAAAAACATTGAAATTTCTCCTGAAAACAGGAGATCAGACTAAACTGTCACCCTCCTGTACAAAGTAATCAGCAACAGAAGTCAGAGATCTTCGGTCACAGTACACAAGGAAGGATACCTTTCTTTTAAAGCAGTATCACCACACCAAGGGTCCAGCCAAAACCTCAGCCTTCTTTGTTCTTCCATTTCCAACTTTATAAGAAATTACCCTTGATGAAATGGGAATAAGCCATAAGCCCTGTAAATGCCTTTCCAAATGCTGCACCCATAAGACAAAAGTGAACCACCTGTGTCCCACCCATTACTGAAACCATATTTTTCTCCAGAATTCCCATGGTTCATTAGAAAATCTCCAGAACCAGCTCCCTAAAAGTGCTAAATTAAACAATTTCACCTTCCAGAACCAGCTTTTCTTTTAAAGCAGTCTGAAGGTTTGAAAAACTAGATTTGATGATTCATAAAAAAAAAGAAGAAAAGCTAGATTTGATGAGAGTGATACCCCTCCTCTTCACACCATAGAAATATTTGACATGCAAATTCAAGCACTAAAGTATAAGGCTGCATTTTCTCCATTAGTAATGAATGGTTCTAACAAAGTTTTGGTGGACTTTAGGACAATATTAAAATAGTGAATCATTGAAATTTGTAAAACTTGAGTATTTAGTTTTGGATATTTGTTCCCAACTTAAGAATTCTCTAAACAGCTGAGGTGAAGAGCAATCCGCCCACATCCATTAATTGCCTGCTTACATAGCATATGTATATGTCTAACCAATCCAACATGATTGAGGTAACCCTCTACCTTGTTGTTCACTTGATTTCTCTCATTATAGCTGTAGAGAGACTGGGCCGAATGGGCCCTAGTATCTTTTCTTGTAGTATGTTTTTTATTTTTTTGAGTAGTCGATCAAGATTACAATCAGTCTTGAATCCAAAAGTAAAAAGGGTTTCAGATGGAGAAAAGAAGAAGAAGAAAAGGAGAAAAGAGGGAGAAGCAGAAGCACACAAGGGTTTTAGAAAAGGAGAGAGAGGGTTGGATTGATTAATCTGCCGACCCACTCTTAATATTTATATGTTTACTAATTGTAGAAAAAGGCAGAATTGCCCTTAATGCTTACATGGCAAATAAACTAATAATAACAAGCTGTAACAACAAAACTGAAGTAACTACCAACTAACACTGACATAACTAACAAAGAATACATGCTGTGCGGCCATACGAACACAGTGGGGACCACAGCCGTGGGGTCCACATCAGTGTTCTCTACATTTTGTTAGCTAATAGGCCTATCTTTATGGGCTTGTTATTTCTTTTTTGTTAGTTCTCTTTATGTTACTGCCTAGCCAGCCGCCCACTTAAGGGCATACTTGTAATTAACCTAAGATTGAATTTTAGTAAAAGGATTAGAAAAGGGAGGGAAGAGATATTTGAACTCTTCTTCTTCCTCTTCTTTTCTCCATCTTCTTCTTTTGTGCTGCTGTTCTCTATTTCTCTTCTCTTCTCTCTAAATTTTACCAAGTTTATATCAGTTTTAGAGGACTGATTTACATCTTGGTATTGGAGCAGGTTTCTTCTTCCTTCCTTTTCTTTTTTCTCTTTTCCCATACACCCTTCGATTAAGAGAGTGTGTGGAGAGATGGGTTGTCTATAGTTCAGAGGACTTTTTGCCTAGTTGGCTAAGGGTTTGGAGAGTTGAATTCTGGCCAGAAACTGCTAAGAAGTGATGCTGTATTGTTTCTGCCCAAAACCCTAGCCGACTAGAGATTTTCAAAGTTACAGGTAAAAGTGAAGCTTTGGGTGTGGCGCTTTGTGCTTGGGAGGTGCCTTTTGACTTCTAAAAGAGGGTGGTCCAGTTTTGGAAGAGATTGGGAAGCTCTGGTAGGAGCGGTTGCATCTTCTCTCTTTCTCCTCGACAGTCGGATGCAGTGAAACCCTAGTTTTCAAACATCTGGTACTGGTTTGACTTCAAGTAAGTTTATAAAGACCAAATTTTTGGTTTTTTGATTTTCGTTTGATTAATGGAGCAATATGGAAGTGAGTTCAAGCAAGTGCCGGTTTCCGGGCTTGGCTTTGTAGATTCCGTTTTGATTGGTATGACCACAATTAAGCTAGATGGAACAAACAATCTTGCTTGAGCACATTCTATAAGGATTTATGTTTGTAGTAGTGGTTTTGGGGTGATTGGTGATTGTTCTCAGTCGGTTTCTGGGTTTTGCTGGTCCAAATGTTTCGTTATTTTCCTCCCAAGAAATCTACTGGTGGGAAGGGGAGGTGGGAAGAAAGTAACTGGTATCGAATAGAGGAGAAAAATGCGAGGACAAGGGCCAATTTTTCCTATAGTAAAGCGGTGTCGACAGGAGCTTGGCCTGGTTTTGGGTTGACGGAGATTAAAAAGTATGAAGATAAATGGGTTGTTGTCATAGAGTCACAGGCAGTGGAAGCAAGAAGAGAGTTTTTGCGAAACTGTTTGGTTGGATGATTTCGGTGGGGGTGGGAATTAGTGAAGTGGAGACATGGGTGAGTAGATTGTGGAGAGAGGTGGGGGGAATTAGAGTAAAGAAAATGGTAGATGACCTTTTCTTGTTCATCTACCCTTCGAGAGCCGAAGCGGAGTGGGTCTTACATAATGGACCTTGGCATATGGGAAGGAATTCGCTCTTGTTGGATTGGTGGAGTGCGAGTGCGGGATGCTTCTACCCGGATCCTTTCTCTGAAGGTGAGGATATGGATTCGATTTGGGTTAGGGCGTTTGGTCTTC